GGTTTTTATTTTTTTAACTACCACCAACAGATTCTGGAGGGGACACGGTGGCACAGTGGCTTAATGATGCTGAAAGTTGCTGGCCAGAAATGGTCGACACTTCAGCGGTTCAAGCCCAGCCCCGCGCGGCAGAGTGAGCTCCTGTCTCCTCCCTAGCTTCTGTCAACCCAGCAGCTTGAAAGCATCCGCAAGTAGATAAATGGGTATTCTCACCCCGGTGGGAGGAAAAATGCTGGCAGCGCCTTGCACGGAGACGGGAGCAGTTGCCAGTAATGCGGAAGCTGCGTACACCCGAAAAAGACAAGAAGCAATGGAAAGCCCGCCTCCTGCGCTCGCCAGCTGGGCTCCACTCTAGGAAGGAGGCAATGGCAAACCACTTCCGAAACACCTTGCCATGAAAACTGCAGGGACTCGTCCAAGCAGTTGCTGTGGAATCGGTTACGATTGAGTGTGGATAAAAAAAAAAAAACAGCTTCTGGGCCAATTTTATTTTGGGAATTGGGTTTGGGGAGAAAGTCATTGCCCGCAAACTATGGCCTAAGGTCCAGGTTGATAGTCTTATTTGACCCTTAAGATATCATATGTTCCAATGTGATCCCAATCCTCCAAACTTCAGCAATGCCAATTTGCCCAGGACAAGCTAATCCAGAGATGAGACACCCCCCCCCCAACACACAATACCTGCATGCCTATGACTTTTACCCCAGTTAGGCTCAGTGGTTGAGGATTATTCTTCATATACTGGCTGCCCCTTCAAGACACCAACCTGCACAGAAAAGAATTAAGTATTGCAGATGATCCACCAACACTCATCCAGAAGGAAAGGAATAATTAATTGTAGGCTTGGCACCATGTGGCCTGCATGGAGACCATTCCCCAAAAGGAGAGACACCTACTGCTTTTGGGCAGGCACCATTTCAGACATGGCTAGGCTCAGGTTTCAGTCCCAACATCCCTAGGCTCAGGTTTCAGTCCCTGTGATATGGCCTTTTGATCCTGTGTAAATCCACCTCCTGTAGTTGGATAATCCTCTATATAATTAGCCCTCCCCTTGTGCTGATCTTATTTATTTACTTATTTATTACTTAGGCTCACAGGCTGCTTCAGTCGTAGCTGCGACAATTCATAACTAAGCAGTGAAGACTGCTTTCATAACAAAGTTTAAAAAGTATAAAAAACAACATTGACAATCTGCATCTTGATGCACCATGAAATCAGTCTTCTAATAAAATAAAAGCTACCTGCAGGAGGACCATCTACATTTTATTCCCTGTAAGCTTTCTGTAACAGCCAGCCCTTTATGGCTTTCCGGAATTCCATAAGGGTTGGGGCTACTTTGATAGTGAGGGAACTTTGCCCCATATGAGAAGGAGGCAACTAAGAAGCCCTGATTTCAGGGTCCCCAACAATAGTATTCTCTTAGAGTAGGGACCCAAACAGAGTCCTTCTTCTCTGGTCTCACTGGATGGGCAGAAACCACTGGGACCAGGCAGTCCCACAGATGATAAAGTCTTAAACTGTGTAGGCCTTTAAAGGAAAAAACCAGCACCATTAATCACATTGATAGCTAGTGTGGCTCTCAAAGTAATGGTGTTATGTGTGCAAAATGAGAAGTGCTCATAATTCTGGGCAAGCTGCAACTATAGTTTCTGAGTGGTCTTCAAAAGCAGACCCGTATAGAATGTATTGCAGTAGTCCAGCTGAAAGGTCACCAAGGCATGAGTGACCGTGTCCGAGGCAGCTGAACAGGAACTGGTCCCAGAGGAAGGAAGAGAACAACCTTGATACCATGATTCTTGCTTCCAACCCTCAGAGATGATCCATTAAATGCTGATTGATGGTATTTAATGCAGCTGATAGATCAAAGAGGATCTTTGGGCTACTCCCATGTCAGTCCTGCCACAGATCACTAATAGGAATGATCAATGAGGTCTCAGTACTATACCTTGACCTGAAATCTGACTGAAGATTATTAAATAATCTTCAGATAATCCATTTCCTTCTTTGCAACTCCTACCTTCTCAACAATCTTGCTATAAAAGGACGGCTGAAGATTGGTTGATAGTTCTCCATACTACCCAGGTTGAGTAATATTTTCTTAAGCAGAGAGCATACCACTGCTTTTTTCAAAGTTGGCAGTACCACTCCCTCCCTGAAGGATATAATTGTGGTTTTAATGTTTTAATTAATTGAGTTGTTTTGTTGTTTTTTGGTTTTAATTTTGTGTTAGCTGCTGAGAGTCGTAATAGCAGGATGGGCAGCCATATAAATTGTTCAAATAAATAAATAAGGATTCATTCACTACTGCTCTGATCCAGCCTCCTGTCATCTCTGTGGAGGCTTTCACCAATCAGGAAGGCCAGGGATGTGACCTACAAGAGGCAGAGTTAATTCCAAGAAGGACCCTGCCCACTTTTTCAGGACCAATAGACTCTTCAAAGAAAACCAGGCCAGACGGAGCTTTGTTCACTCAACCAGACCTGTTCAGCTAGTGTCCAACACTGAATGGATCTGAGAGATTTTATTTTCCAGATGTTCTGCAAATTCTTCACAGCAGCCAAGAGATACTCTTCAAGCCGTCATTCTGGTAACAAGTGACATGTTCATGAGGTAACACAACCATGTGCTTCAGGTGCCAGCTTCAAATGGATGACTCATACCACTGAGGAGGCCGTGAAGGGTTTACAAGTCCACCCATTCTCAATACATCATCATGAAGTCTCTCTTGATGAGCCACTATTAACACCCAGCCTATCATCCTCCAAGAGGAATTTTCTATTTTGATAGAAACTTATTAGGTGGAATACTTTGGTTTTGCTGACAGGTTGCTTGCAGTGAAGATAGATGCATTCAAAAGGTGCAAAGGGTGAAAACAAGGATGGTTTGGAAAACTGAGTCAGCCAGGAGACGTGGAGAGATTCAGTAGCGGAGAGTGATTGGTACATAGATGAGAATAATAATAATAATTTTTTTAATTTATATGCCACCCGACTCCCAGCAATTCTGGGTAGTTTACAGTTGTTAAAATAATTTAAAAACAAAGCACAAACAGCACAAAATAAAGGGACAATGATGGCAGAGGGGAACAGAAAGGAAAAAAGGGGCAACAATCATCCTCTCTAAATGCCTGGGTGAAGAGCCAGGTCTTTAAGGCCCTTCAAAATCCCAGTAGGATGGGAGCTGTTCAAATTTTGGGGGCAACCTCATTCCAGAGGGCAGGCACTGCTACAGAGAAGGTGTGCTTCCAGGGTCCTGATAGATAGCATTGTTTAATTGATGGAACCCGGAGTGCGCCTGCCAGATCAAACTGGTTGGGCAGATACTATGGGAGATGGGTGGTCCCTCAAGTAACCAGGGCTTTATAGGTAGCAACCTATTGCATCCAGAAGCAAACTGGCAATCAGTGCAGCTCGTGAAGCAGGAGTGTTACATGGGCATACCAAAGCATGCCCATTACTGACCATGTCACTGCATTCTGGATCAGCTGAAGCTTCCAAGTGGTCTTCAAGGGCAGCTAACCCAGATTCTAGAGCCATAGCCTGGGTACAGGGGTGCAACAACTACCATCCTTAGTGGTAGAGGTGGGGGGGAGGTATGCAGTCCTACACTCAGTGGGTGGAGAAGCATGAATGCAGGATTTCCAGTAACAATACAATTAAAAGAGCTTCTGTGCTTTCCAAGTAGCCCATGAATGTTTAAGAAGTCCCCAGCCGCTCTCGGAAGGATATACCAAGCAGAGGAAGGTTCTCAGGAATGATGCTGTTGTATTCTTCAGTTCCCTGACAAGGCATGCATGGTGTTACTGACTTCTCCCTTATGTTTTATCCATTTATCCAACTGACTGCATTCAGTCTTCCCTTATAACTCCTTCTCCAGCAGCTCCTGTCTTGTTGGAGAAGGGAAATCCACGCTGTCAGTGTGGCAGGTGGATTGTATGAAATACACGAATGGGAACCCAGGCATGACTTTATCCTGACCTAGCACAACACTCTTGTATGAGGGAAATCAGAAGAAGCTAGTTTTCAATGGTTTTCGTATACACAGTTAATAGAAAGATTTAAGGTAGACAACAGGACATTTGGAACTGAACAGCATAAGACAGAATTTGAAATTGAACTACGTACAAATAATGAACATGTAATTGCTAAAATGTATAAACTTGTGTTGGAATTTGAAATGGAAGAAGAACAAGTGAAAGAATGAATGATAAAATGGGCTAAGAACTTTGGATATGATATACTGATGGAACAATGGGAAAATATGTGGCTGAAAGGACTGAAATTTACATTATGTTATCATTTTAAAAAGAGATAATTTAAAAGAGATAATTATAAAATGATGTACTGTTGGTACATGACTCCAGAAAAATTACCTAGAATGTATAAAGATACTTCAAATTTACATTGGAAATGTGGAAAACATGAAGGGTCATTTTATCATGCCTGGTAGACTTGCAAAAAAGCCAGAAAATTTTGGGTTCAAATACATACAGTGATACAAAGAATTTTAAAGATTAATATTCAGTTGAAACCAGGATTCTTCTTGTTGGGACTATCTATCCCTCCAGAAAAATTACCTAGAATGTATAAAGATACTTCAAATTTACATTGGAAATGTGGAAAACATGAAGGGTCATTTTATCATGCCTGGTAGACTTGCAAAAAAGCCAGAAAATTTTGGGTTCAAATACATACAGTGATACAAAGAATTTTAAAGATTAATATTCAGTTGAAACCAGGATTCTTCTTGTTGGGACTATCTATCCATTAGATAGACAGTTAGAAAAGAGCTATGGAAAATTGTTTTTATATGTGATAACCGGTACAAGATTATTAGATGCACAAAAATGGAAAGACTCTGAAATACCCAAAATGGAGGAATGGATGGTGAAGATGACGGAATTAGCAGAAATGGCAAAATTGACTTGTTTGATTAGAGAGAGGACAATAACTGGAAACCTCTTATGGACTTTTTGCTAAAAAAAAGAAAAAAATGATCGTGTGATCTATGGGTTTGAGGAATAGAAAGGGTAGACTATTGAAAGAAGGAAATTCTGTTGTGACCTTAGAGAAAGAGGGA